GATAGACTAAATGCCTTTTGCATAAAGGGATGTCCATGAGTCTTTGGGCGGCCAGGAGTGGAATGTTACAGCTTGTGCCTAGATGTACCCCTAAAGCCTCATGTAGTCATAGGTGGGGCTTTTTCAGAGATGGCCGAATCTAGAGAGTGTGATTCATGGTGTGGTGCTAGGATTAAGGGTAAATGATTACCAATTCAGTCCAATAATTGGTTTGGCACTGCCCTATTGTTGATATCCTGGATACAATTTAAGGGACAGAAAAAGGCTTGCTTTTCCCTTGCTTGATTTGCTACCTTCTGTCTGCCATGTACTTTTTCTCCTCTGTGATACTTGTCTGCCATGCCATGTTGCCTTGGAGCCAGCTGACTATGGACTGAAACCTCTACAAACTGTGAGCCAAATAAACCTTTCCTCCCTTAGCTTTAAGCATTGGGTATTTTGTCTCAGCAACAAGAAAAATAACTAAGACAACTGTTAAATTTAACCAGGGCTACCATTTAAAGTTTGTGCTGTCATCTAGTTCAGATCTAATAATTACCCGAATTATAGAGATGTATGGGTAGTAAAGAGAGGTAGACAAATTGGTAACAAATTAAGTAGGTAGACTGAAATGACCTAGTGAGTGACTAGATGGCAGACATGAGGAAGGTTGAGGAATTATGGTTGCCATCACTCTCTAGGTTGATATTATTTCCTAAGAGAAAGAAGAATGATCTGGTTTATGGAGGAGAGCTAAGGTTATATCAGTTTGAGGCCTGCTGAATTTTGTTGTCTGTGGGACACATTCGTCTGTAAATCGGTGGCCAAGTGTGGTTACAAATGCCTGTGATCCCAGCACTCTGGGAGGCTGAGGGAAGAGGATTACATGGATAGGGCCGGCACAGGCAACTTGGTGACTTAGCAAGACCTTTTTTCAAAGTAAAAAATGGAAAAGGCCTAGAGTTACAGCTTAGTGTGAAGGTCTTAGATTTAAGAGTACTGAAAAAATAAAACATGACAGAATATCCCCAAACCAAACAAAACCACTAAGCAAATGAGTATTATATTCTATCCTTTACCCTTGCTTCTTAAACTCTAATCTGTACTTAAACTACTTTTGAGTTTTGTATCCAGTCCACTCTCCTTATTCCCTAAGCTGCTGAGAATTGCAAAACACTGGCTGGCTAGGCAAGTGTTTTATTACTGAGCTACTCCCTAACTTCCCAATTTTAGTCTGCAAAAGAATCTGGAGAAGTTTCTGACACATATTACCAGACCCTACCTCAGAAATTGTTATAAAGATTGGGCGGGATACATGAATTTGGCTTTTTTTTCCTTTTTTTTTTTTTTTTTGGTAGTACTAGGGTTTGAACCTAGGGCCTTGCAAATGGTAAGCAAGTGCTGTACTACTGAGCTCCATCCCCAGCAAAAAAATTATGGGACAAGGTCTTGCCAAGTTTCTCAGTTTGGCCTTGAACTTGTGATCCTCCTGCCTTATCTTCTGGAGTAGCTGAGATTATAGGTGTGTACCACCATGCCTGGAGAGATGTTTTAAATTAATAAAACTTTAATTTGAGGGAATAGTTTTAGGTTCAAAACCAAATTGAACCAAAGTGTAGAGTTCCCAACTACTCCTTGTCCCCCGACACAACTACTTTCTCTACTATTGATATCCTCTACTACAACAGTACATTTTATATAAGGGACTTAGGCATGTTAGTATTCCAAGAGGGACCGAGAACCAGTCCCCCATGGATACTGGGACAACTGTATTCTCCTTTCTTGTTATATTAATTTATATTAAGTATTATATTGAACAGCAGTAGTGAAGGGGATATATTTGACTTGTTTCTGATCTTAGAGGAAAGCTCCAGTTGCTTACTATGAACTATGTTACCTGTAGAGTTTTACATGTTTTTTTAATAAGGTTGATGAAATTCCTTTTTAGTCTTGTTTTGCTGAGATTTTAAAGTTCATGAATGGGTGTTGGATGTTACAAATGCTTTTTCTGTATTTTATCATATGATTTTACTTTTTAAAAGTCTGTTAATGTGATGGATTACATTAATTGATTTTCAAATGCTGAATTAGCCCTGCATACCCATGACAAACTCCACTTCTTCCTGAGATATAATTCTTTTGATAAATATCATTGGGTTTGATTTGCTTATATAGTTATCCCTTGAACTCCACAGAAGATTGGTTCCAGGAATGCCTACAGAAACCAAAATCTACACATGCTTAATCCTTTATATAAAATGATGTAGTATTTGCATATAAGCTATGTAAAACTTTCTGTATATTTTATCTCTAGATTAATTATAATACCTAATACAATGTGAATGCTATATTTATTGTACTGTTTACTTAGGGATAATAATGAGAAAAACGCCTTCATATGTTCAATACAGTTTTTTTCCTGAATATTTTCAATGTGTGGTTGGTTGAGCCCATGGATATAAAACTAATGGATACTGAGGGCTCACTGTATTTTATTGAAGAATTTTTACATTTATATTCATGACAGACACTGATCAATAGTTTTCTTGTACTATCTTGTCTGGTTTTGATATTGGGTAATGCTGGCCTTATCAAATGAGTAAGTATTCTATCTTCTATCTTTCAAGACATGAGAAAATTGCACACCTATTTGGACTTAGTGCTTTCTGTATTGAAAGCTTTTAATTATTGATTTAGTTCTTGTTTTTTCTTCAGTTGATATAGGCCTACTCAGATTGTTTCTTGTGTCAGTTGTGGTAATTTTTGTCTTTCATGGAATTGGTACATTTCACCTAAGTTATCAAATCTAGGTTACATTCACCTAGGTTATCAAAGAATGCTCTTTGCATTTCTTATTTTTACAATGTCCTGGTGTTATGGCTTGTGTCTTGATGTCCTTCTAAAGCCTCATGCAGTCTCAGGTGGAGCTTTTTCTAGAATTGATTCATGGTGCAGGGGATTGAGGGCATGAATGCTACCTGCCCTAAGTAATCTGTATAAGATAAAGGGGGCAGAAAGATGCTGTTGAGGGCCCCCCTTCCCTTATTGCTTTTGTTGTCTTGTGCTGCGATGAACTGTTGCCCCTCTGCCGTCCTGCTTGGAGCCAGCCAATTATGGACTGAAACCTCTATGAATAGTAAGCCAAACAAACCTTTCCCCCTTTAACTTTGGTTATCAGGTATTTTGACTCAACACAATGAGAGAATTAAGACACCAGGGATCAGAAGTGATGTCTCCTCTTTCACTGCCAATTTGGTGATGCGTGATATATTTTTTCTTAATTAGCCCAGTGAGAGACTTGTTGATTATATCAGTCTTTTTAAAGAACCAGCTTGATTTCCTTGCTTTTTCTCTGTTGGTATCCTGTTTTCATTTTCATTGATTTCTGCTCAATTTTTATAATTTTTTATTATTATTTTCAATTTAATTTGCTGCTTTTTCCAGTTATCTAAAGAAGCTAATGATTAATTTTAAATCTTGTTTCTTTTCTAATACAGTTTGTGCATTCATTGCTATATACTTCTGTCTAAATACTGTATTCCGCTATATTTAGTCAGTTTTTTCATTTGGTTCAAAAGTTTTAAAACTTTTTCTTGATTACACTATTTAAGAAAAGCTTGTATTTATTTTTATTTACTTCTTTTTTTTTTTTGGTACTGGGGATCAGACTTGGGACCTTGCATTTGTGAGGCAGGTGGTGGCACCACTGAGCTAAATCCCTGGCCTGTCATCCCATCATTTACTTCTTCTTTACTGATGTTCTTTTTTTTTGTTTGTTTTTAAATGTAGATCCATATTTCTGGCCTATACACTTCTCTATCTTTCTGAAGAACTTTTTCAACATTGCTTGCAAAGCAGGTCTACTAGAGAATAATAGTATTTTCCCCCATTCCCCAGCCCTGCCCAAGAATTTTGTAAGTTATATATGTCATAACCTTTTATCCTTAAATATGTTTGTATTTTCTAAGAAAGATATTAAACAGTTGGCCTGGGGATTTAGCTCAGTGGTGTCACTGCCTGCCTTACAAGGGCAAGGTCCTGAGTTTGGTCCCTGGACCCCCCCCCAAAATACATATATATCAAACAGTCATAATAAAAAATTGTTTGAAATTGAAAATGTGATGAAATTCCTAAAATTCAACCTTGATAAAAATCAAGCCTATGCTTGTCTATCAGAGGCCTTTAGTGGAAAAACCCTATGTTCAGAGGATGGGGTTAAAGTGAGGTCGTAGACAGCAGTTTTCAGAGAAAATCTTTTTTCCCCTCTCATTTAAGATAGATTATTATAAGCTGTTCCCAAAAGCACTAAGCTAACACAGTTTGGTGTCTTGGAGGAATACTTACAGCTTATTAACAGTATTATGAAATTGCCATTTTGAGAGAAGTAGGGCAGCAAATATACTTTGAATAGAGACAAGGAAGATTAACAACCTATCCTTCACAATTACTGTCTTCCTGATCTGTTTCTTCTCCTCCAGTTACTTATATGTACTTTTTCCCCTTATGTATACATATCTCAATTACTAGGCACACTCCTCAAATTTCATTTATAAGTGGCAGCTATGAAAGCCATGGAATTGCTAATTTATTTTAAAAAATTCAATTCTGTCATTAAGAAGAATAGTAAGCCAAGTACAGTAGTATCTACCTGTAATCCCATCTACTGAGGAGGCTGAGGCAGAAGAATCACAAGTTAAAGTCCAGTTTGGGCTTCTTAGTGAGACTCAAGATAAAAAGTAAAAGAGGACTGGAGTGTACATCAGTGGTAGAGTATTTGCCTAGGAAGCATGAGGCCCTGCATTTAATCCCCAGTAACACACACACATTCATGCACATGTGCATGGGCAAAAGAAAAGAAATGGATCCCTTTTCAGCACTTGGGAGGCTAAAGCAGGAGTTTGAGGCTAGCCTGGACTATGTAGTGAGTTTGACAGCCTGAACTCAGGAAAAAACAAACAAACAAACAAAACATTTACTATTTTTTTTTGTTTTGTTTTGTTTTTTGTTTTGGTATCTTTCAGTGTCACAGTCAAATGGTGAGATCAAAGACTTTTCTCCAAAAAATATCACTTACGAAGATGATTCATCCCAGTATTTAATAATGAAAAGAATTGTAAGCCAACATCCCACATGTTCCACTTTGAAAAGAAACTGGCAATTTGAGGGTGGCAATGAGGTGCTGCAAAGGAATCAAGGTCATATCAGGCAAGTGGTATCAGGCAAGTCTCACCAAGAAGCTCTGACGCAGCACATGCGCATAACTGTGGTAGAGAGGCCCTACAGATGCCAAGAATGTGGAAAAACATTCAATCGGCGCTTTTCTCTTGTATTACACCAGAGAACTCATACTGGAGAGAAGCCCTATGTTTGTAAGGAATGCGGTAAAACTTTTAGCCAGATCTCAAATCTTGTGAAACATCAGATGATACATACTGGAAAGAAACCTCATGAGTGTAAGGACTGTAATAAAACATTCAGTTACCTTTCATTCCTCGTTGAACACCAGAGAACACATACTGGGGAAAAACCTTATGGATGTACTGAGTGTGGAAAGGCTTTTAGTCGTGCCTCAAACCTCACCCGACATCAGAGAATTCATATGGGAAAGAAACAGTATGTCTGTAGGAAATGTGGGAAAGCCTTTAGCAGTGATTCATAACACATTTGCCACCAGATTATACATACTGGGGAGAAACCTTATGAATGCCTTGACTGTGGAAAGCATTTCGTCATTCCTCACATCTTGACATCAGCACATCCATACGACTAAAACCCCCTATGAGTGTCCTGTGTGTATGAAAGCTTTCTGTTGCCACTCATTCTTTATTAAACATCAGAGAATTCATGCCAAAGGAAAGCTCTCTGAATGTGATGAATGTGGGAAAGTGTTCACTTGGCATGCATCTCTTATTCAACATGCGAAAATTCATACTGGAGAAAAACCCTGTGCATGTGGTTAATGTGACAAAGCCCTCAGTAGGAGCTTTTCCCTCATCTTACATTAAGATAACTCACACTGGAGAGAAGCCCAGTGTATGTAATGTGTGCAACAAATCTTTCAGCTGGAGCTCAAACCTTGCTAAACATCAGAGAACGCATAACCTAGAGAACCCCTATGAATATGAAAATTCATTTAGTTACCTTTTTCTTTTTTTAATACTGGGGATCAAACTCAGTACCTTGTGCTTTCGAGGCAGGTGTTGGAACCACTGAACTAAATCCCCAGCCCACCACTCATTTCTTGTTGAACACGAGTGAATCATACTCTGAAAACCTAAGAATATTTAGTTAAAAACAAACAGAAAAATAATGCCTTTCCCTTTAGAGAGCTCTTGGAAAGAAGTTTTATATGAATGTGTTGAATTCAAAGAAATGTGGCCTTTATGTTACTCATCTTGAGGACACCCCCAGGAATATGTGGGACAGCTATTAGTAGCAGTTCATTCTTTTTGCAACATCAGAAGACAAAATCAATATTGAGATGATTTCATTTGGTAATATCCATTATTCTGTATTTGTAAATATCTTCCAAGAAAGAGTACATATCAGATAGATGTGAGGAAGCTTTTAGAGATCAGCCTTCACCCTACATATCTGTCAGCTCTACCAGTATATGATAAGGAAAAACATTACAAAAGGGTACTTTGGACATCAGATAATTCATAAAGTGATTTGGGAAGGACGATATGAAATAATTAAAATTTTAAATACTCTTGAAAGAGGAAGCAACTCTAGGTGAACGTAGGCTGACTTTATGCAGTATATCAAACATGGGAAAACTACTGGGATAAAAACTATTACTGTGTGATGAGTAACAATAATTTTAGATTGCTGGACAGAAACACTGTAAGAAAAGGTCTTTTTTGTATTTGGAGAAGATGGGAATTTTAAACTGAATTCACAAAAGGAAGTTATGAATCTTTTGGGTTGTAATAACCTTCCATTTGCTGATTTCCTCCACAGCAGGTGTGATTGTGAAAGTGTAACTACCACAGTTTTGACACGAACAATGAAAACTACTGTACTATTTTTGTACAAATATACCATTACGGAAACACTTTTAGATATCATGTGGTTTTACCTTTAAGACAAGAGGATCTAGATTTAAAATTATGCTAAGTGACATCTATATTTGAACCTGACCATAGACTGTCTGAAATAAGTTTAAGCTATGCACAGGAAAATCCCCAAGCAGTTTTTATCATTGTTCCCTTTAAAGTGAGAAGAGTTGTTGAAAGCGCATATTTAAACCTGTTCTGGCATTATCAGCTGCCCAGCTGGCAGAGCTCACACCATCAGATTGTTTACTTTGATTGAGAAAGTAAGCAATTTTATACAATTATAGGATGAATGGAGGTAACTGTTAAGCATTGATATTATAGTGACTGTATCAAGGACATGTCTGTCAAAGCTTTTATTAGGTAAATATCTCATTTCATTGGAGGAGGTGGAGTTGACTTTTTGTCCCAGTCATGTAGTAGATTTACATGCATTACCAGAAGCATTGTATTTCCCCAGACCTGCATTCGGTATGGCATTTTTGTGTACACATTTGTGAAGCTTCCTAAAACACTGAAAGCTTCCTAAAACACTGTTTAGGAGAAGCTGTTTAATCTTAAAACCATATAATGTCTCAAACACTCATGAAAGACATGCCTTGAAGGATTTGGGTATCCAGTATCTGATTCACTTTTCTCAGGTAGTGGTTGTAAATCAGTATACCCAGGGCTGGGGATTTGGCTCAGTGGTTCTGCTGCCTACCTTGCAAGCACAAGGGCCTGAGTTTGATCCCTGGTACCAAAATAAAAAAATCAGGTTACCCTGAGCTATCAAAAATATTGGAGAAGTGAAACATTTTTCAAATTGATATTATTTAGGATATACCGGGTAGCTTCCATTTTCTGATCCAGATCTAAGCCCCACCCTCCTATCCCTCAATGGGATCTGTCCTCCCTCATTCATAGGGAACAAATTTCAAAGCCCTGAGTGGGTATCTGAACACTTTAACATTTATTCAGGCATACAGGAATATCAGAATGGATTTTCTTCCTTCTCAGAATGGATTTTTGATGGTACTGGGGATTGAACCCAGAGCCTTTACACTTAGGTATATTCTCAGCCTTTTAAAATTTTAGATCTTGAGACAGGGTCTAAGATACCCAGAATGGGTTCAGAGTTGATATTCTCCAGCCTCAGCCTCCTAGAGTGCTGAAACTACAGGTATATACCGTCATTCCTAAAAATGGATCTTTTAAATGAGCAGCTATAGTCAACCTTGGAGAAGTAATAAAACACTCCCTTCAAGGAAGTAAGAAATCACTCTAGTGATGCATGTACCATCATCCTTAACTCTGAGTGCCTGTCTCTCTAGGCTGTAAATGATATTGGGAGCTTCTAGGAAGGAAATAAGATCCCAGTTTTAGTAATGACAATGGCATGAAATCTTGGCATGGTAGAGGCTAGGCACAATGAGAACAAGTTTTAATCACATATTTCTGTGGCAACAGATAAATAATCATGTTATTCCTAAAATAAAATATATGGGTGGTATCCAAAGTGCTATTTCATATATTTAGGTAGGGACACTACACCTGGCCAGAAACCAAACTGAAATCACCATAAGTAATGTTTGCATCATTGGCTCAATTCCCAGAGTGAAGCCAGCTCACAACCCTGAAGTTCCTCAACTGAGAGAGAGCCTTAGGTCTCATTGAACATGTAGAGGCACCTTGGTTCATGAACTTAATTTGTTCTATGATTCTGGGGAAGATGGCCAGAGTTGTGTTAACCACTGAATGTGGAGTTTGAACAGCAGCAAAATTTTGCTGAACACTTGTGAACTGAATTGTTCAGTGAACAGAAATGTTCCTGAACTGAGATGTAGTACTATGTAGTTGAATGGTAGAACAGTCTTAGAGTTCAAATCTCAGTACTGCAAAAATTAAAAAAGAAACACCCAGCTATTTCCCTTCTGGTAGTAGGTATCTTTCCCAAAGAGCTAAAGACATCACACTACAATACATGCATACCAGTGTTCACAGCAGCATACTTCATAATAGCGAAATCTTGGAAACATATTGTATATCCATCACTAGACTAGTGGACAAAGAAAATATGGTAGCTATACATAATGGAATACTAAGCCATAAAGGACAGATTTGAGACATCTGTAAAAATGGATTCACCTGTAAAATATGCTGAATGAAGTAAATCAGACACACAAGCTTAAATACCATATGGTATGTCTCATTTCAGTAAGTCAGAGTACAAAGCATAATAAAGGATGGATAGAAGGAAACAAGGGGACAAATCTCTTGTAAATAGGATAGGTCCAGGAGACTGAGGGCAAGGGGAGAGGGAGGGAAGTAAGTAGAATAAAGATACGCCATGTACAGGAATGTAATAACCTTGATGAATGTTATATGTTGTCAACATGAGCTAAGAGTAATATATGAACAATGAAAATTGGGAAAGAAGATTTAGAGGCAAAAAGAAGGAGGGGTGGATGGGAAGATTAAGAAACAAGCTAGCTGGTGATTTAGCTCAGTGGTGCCGCTAGGGAGGGAAGTAAGTAGAATAAAGATACGCCATGTACAGGAATGTAATAACCTTGATGAATGTTATATGTTGTCAACATGAGCTAAGAGTAATATATGAACAATGAAAATTGGGAAAGAAGATTTAGAGGCAAAAAGAAGGAGGGGTGGATGGGAAGATTAAGAAACAAGCTAGCTGGTGATTTAGCTCAGTGGTGCCGCCCCTTGAGTTCAATCCCTGGTAAAAAAAAAAAAAAAAATGTTAAATAAAAAAACAAGAAGCAGTACATGTACCCACTTCCTAAGATGAATGTAAAATTTTATGTACTGCAAACACATACTAATAAGCAAGACCAAACCCAAACAAACAGAAAACAAACAGCAGCCCCTCATATCTCCAGATGTCAATCATAATCACATTCTAATGACTGCATTTTATGGACAGACATTTTTAAGAAAACAGTTAGCTGTTACTGGAAATTTAGGAACTTTCCAATTTTTCCCTAGTGAAACTAAGATGAATAATGTTCTTATGCATGTTTGTATGAAGTTATTTAATATGTGTTCAGTAAAGTTTTTCCGGGTTCAAGATTATGAGTATTCCAGCTTTGGATACATTGCTTGACTATTCCCAGAAAAGTCTGTATAGTGGTTACCTCTCATTTTTGGAGAATACATTCCAAGATTACCAGTGGATGTCTGAAATTGCAGATAGAGCCAAATAGAATATATACAAAACAAGCATCTGTAACCTTAAAATCTGTGATCTGAAACTTCTTGATTGCCAATAAGGGAAAAATTATACCACAAGTAGAAAATTTTTTAATGTGACATAACAAAATCACCACTATTACTACTCTTGTGCTTTTGGGCCATTATTAAGTAAAATGTGTTACCTGAATAGATGCACAGCATGCCAAGACAGTTGATCTGATGACCAAGAAGGCTAAGTGGATATATGTGAATATCCATATGTGAATAACACACACAGAATGTGGATAACACACACAGGATGGATGAGCTGTACAACAGTCTGGTTCACTTCCCAGGTTGGACACCGCAAGACTTCACCAGAAGTCTACATAGAACAGTGTGCAATTTAAAACTCAAAGCCAAGTGTTGTGGCGCACACTTGTGATCCCAGTACTGAGGCTGAGGTAGGAGGATCACCTCAAATTTGAGGCCAGCCTGGGCTACATAGTGACTTCAAATCCAGTCTGAACTACATAGTGAAATCCTGTCTCAGGGCTAAACAAAAACAAAACTCAAGAATTCTTTATTTCTGTAATTTTCCATTTAATATTTTCACACCATGTAGGTAACTTAAACCATGGAAGGTAAAACTGCAGATAAGGGGGAACTGTCGCGCGCCGCTTGCCAGCAAGTAGACTTTAGGATCCTTCTGAGGCTTTATTAATTGTGTGGAGAAGGCACTCAAACAAAGGAATACACTTCCTTATATAGACTAGAGTTCTTCCACATTAGGCAACGCGCCATGGCAACAATTACTCCTCCAATGAGGATTTTTCCTAGTGTAACAGACTATAGCCAGTGTGGAGAAATCACCATCTCGCGATCCTCCATTACATGTCTTACATCTCATATTCATATATAAATCATTACTAATTATAGCAAACAGGCAAGCTCCTTATCTAGCAAGAGAAAATAACTATATCAGCCTAAAGCACTAATTGAGCACTAACTCAGCAAACTAGGCAGACATGCTCTCCACATCTCACCCTTCTTTTATATAAAATGAGGCTCAGGAATATGTCTGTCTTAGGTTGTCCAGGACTCAAGCAATGCCTTACCCGTCATGGAGAATTGTACTTAGATTTGAAAGATACAATCTCTGTCTTAGGTTGGTCATTGATGATCCCAGATCTTACCCGTCTCTGACTACTATTCCATTTGTGCGAGCCATACCTGAGGGGAGATACCAAGTTCTACGGCCAAAAAAGCCTGGCGCAGCAGATGAATCTGCTGTCGACGGCGTTGACGTGCCATCCAACAGAGGCAACAACTGATAATGCCCAATACAGAAATTACTATAATAAACACTACAATAATCCATCTTGCAAACCTTTTCAAACTACTGGCGGGCTGAAACAAAAAATCCCACCAAACATGATTGGAATCTTGAAGAATGGCATTGTGTATTTGCATCAATTGACCTGCAGCAATTACCGTAGCTATTCGATAATTATCTGCTGCAGCCTTCATCTCTGTCAAAGACCTTTTCAACAAATTTGATTGTTGTAATATTTCTGCAATATTCAATGTGATTTCAGGCACCACCAACTCAGGGAGTACAATTGTCTGACGAATTCTTTGCACAATGGGTAAGGACACATTAATATAGATATCTGCATTCCACAAAAGCCAAGATCTATTATGCAAACATCCACTAAAAGGACTAGATAATCGCATCTTACTCAATTCAAACTCATCAGAACTGGCCAGGCAGATGGAATTAGGACCCACGTCATACAATGCTGTAACGTTAGTCATGGGTAAAACTGATAGTATACAGACATTTTTTGAATGTTGTAAAAGACAAGGCTCTGTTTCTCTTGTTAGCCCCATACAATATAATCCCTTATCTGTTTCCTTACAATTTTTCAAGGAATATGTAATATTATCAAAACCCGAACTTTGATTTACATGAATATGACTTCCATAAATTTGAGGAACAACAAAATGTTTTTCCATAATCAATGGTAACATCACAAAAGGACATAATTTCTTAAAACGTTGAGGGCGTAGCAATTCCAACCTTCCTGCACACCATTCATCCGTGCAGAGGACTTCTGGATGATCTTTGATGATCCACCAACCATCCGTGATATTTAATCGTTCTCGCCAATTTCCAATCGTTGCTGTGGTGAGACGCCGCTGAAATTTCTCGATGATCATGAGTCTGAAGGAACGGAGGCAATCTCCCCCTTCTCTTTCTGTTGTGGAACAGATGAGCGCTGGCAGCGACGTGTCAATCGGCTGGGCACCCAGACGGGGTCCAAGCGATCCTGTGGAAAAACACAAATAGCTCCCCTGGATCTGTGTAGCACAGGATCCGGTCCATGCCATTGGCCTGTTAAAACATCTTTCCACATAATGGTTTCAGTACTTGCAACAGCTTTGGAGTTGTGCCTATCGGCAGCAGAATGTCCTGCATCATCCAACACCAAGAAATTTAGGGTAAACATTACCAAGGACAAAGAAGCTCCAGGCTTTAGTGTTGGAACTAGAGCACTCTTTTGTTTTTGAAGATAATTCTTAAGGGTACCATGAGCACGTTCCACAATTCCTTGTGCTTGTGGATTATAAGCTAATCCTGTAACATGATTAACTTGCATCATATTGCAGAATCTTTCAAATGAATCTGAGGTATAGGCAGGTCCATTGTCTGTTTTTATGGTGGTCGGCTTTCCCCAAGCAGACCAAGCAGCAAGACAATGAGTGATCACATGACCCACCTTTTCTCCAGTATGGGCTGATGCAAAAACGATACCTGAATGAGTATCCACTGAAACGTGCACATATTTTAATGTGCCAAAACTGGAAACATGAGTAACATCCATTTGCCACAAATGAAGAGGTGTTAAACCTCGTGGATTTACACCTACATGAGGCACAGTACGGTAAGAAGCACAGGTCTTACATTGTGATGTAATGTGTCTGGCTTGATTGCGCGTAATTGGAAAACGTTGGCGCAATGTGGCTGATGGAACATGATATAGGGAATGAAATTGTTCTGCCTGCTCCTCGAAGGAGAGTAGAACATGCTTAGTAGCCATATCTGCCAGTCTATTACCTTCTGCCATAGGTCCAGGAAGCAAAGAATGTGCTCGCAAGTGCTGAATGAAGAAAGGAGCGGAGCGCATCAGGATAATAGATCTTATCTGCTCAAAAAGAGTCTTTATTGGACTGTTTGAAGAAATACTTCCTGTTGCTTCCAATTTGCTAACTGCATTAACCACATAGTAAGAATCACTGAATATATTTAAAGGTTCTTGATACTCTTGCAACACATGAGCAACTATAGCACATTCTACTTGTTGAGGTGATTTAAACTCATAGGTCTTCTGAAAAGACTTCCCATTCATTACATAGGCACCAATACCAGTATTTGACCCATCCGTGTAGATAGTTAAGGCATGCGGTATGGGCTGTGATATGGTTTTCTTTGGAAAAATGAGATGCTTACACAATGCAAACTGCAAAAGTGGATGCTGTGGGTAATGATTATCAAATTCCCCATCATAAGCACATCTTAAAATGGCCCAAGAATCCACACAAGAACAAAGCACCTTAAGTTGCTCTTGGGTATAAGGTAATATGATCTTTTCTGGATAATCTCCAAAATGCATTGCTGCTGCCTGCAATCCTTTCATTATGATTTGAGCAACGGCTTCAGGATAATAAGATAACACTTTATTTGATGATGTATTC